ACGCACCTGTTCATTTAATATTCACGGCTACTCGGACTCGTATATTATTTACAAACAATAATATAGTCCCGGAATAGTAATAAACGATGTGCATTTTGTGGGGGGGGGGGAATGAGAACATTGGGCAATGAAAAATATAGGAAAAAGTAAGCGTACTTGAATCGAGTTTGGTAAACATCCCTGAAGTGTATTAGATTATATTCTCGTGTCGTTTTTGGGCAAAATATACACGACGTTTGATGCGAACTGTACTTATCCGGTTATGATCGCCAATAATAATAAATACACGTATGCTGTATGCCGTAAGACTTGTAACGTATATCTTGTATATTACTACCTACGCGACTTTCTTTAGACTCAACTGTGCCATTAAAATACCACAACGTTTTTCAATGTAATATTAGCAATGAGCATACAACGTTAACATAAAAAAAATTGTTGGTTGAATAAATAAAGTTTAAACGTTTAATAATATTTAAAAAATATAAAATATTAATACTTTTTTTCCGCTGTATGGAATCAATTATTTATATGCAATTTGGCAAGGCAGCACAAGAGGATTTCTGTATTAGCAACGGACCCGGTAACTATGCTATTCTACATAGATAATGCAAACCTCATCCAAATTAAGGGTATTGCATATAAATTATAAATTGCAATTACTCCGTCAAACCCTTCGTTAAAATTTTAAATCATTAAAGCAGACGTATTATGGCTAACGTACGAAATACACAATAACACTGAAATATATATATAATAATAATACATTTTGCATTTAAAACAAAAACACCAAAGTATTGCGTTTGTATACATATTTGTAATTTTAAATGCCTTTGTAAACGAACAATAATATTAATGTATAATTTATATGCTTAGCCATAAAATATATTATTATTACAAAAAAAAAAATTCATATTTTACATAAACCTGAATTCGGTAATCATTGAACGCGGCTCAAGACGATATTATAAACACACAATTATTATGGATCGATTTCGCTCTTAAGGAACATCCCGTGTTTGCGTTTAATCGAGAGCTCTTATGGAGAAGACGATGATGACGATAATAATAATGTATTCTATTGTCGTGCCGTGTTATTGGATCCGCACCCACTGCTGATTTTCGATAATCAATTTACAGGAAGTAAAATATGATGAGCAAACTGCGGTAGCACCTAGTTTGTCTGTGTAGGTGTTAGGTATACGTGTATAGCGTGTCTCGAAAGATTAAATATTAGAGACTAAAACAGCGAAAACGAAAAACGGCAGATTAACGAAAAATAATTATCAAGTTATAATCGAAAACCCGTCCTTTGTTTATTTTTAATTAAATACATAATAAGTATTTTTGGCGGTTACGGTTTGTTTGTCAATATAGCGCTCAGACGTGTTTGGCAAATTTAATACAGAGTCATCCCCCTGACTAAAATGCATATACCGAACCCTCATAGAAATAATAATAATAATACACCGTCGTTAACAAGAGTGAACAAAGAGGCTCTTACATATTTTCTAGTTTCATAATTATAATTTTAAAAGTAAAATATCTTTTTTCGTTATCAAATTTATTTATCTCGATGCTTAAATTAATATTAATTATTATCATTAAATACTAATTTACACTCGTTAAAAAATAGTATAAATTATTTGGAATCGTTTTAGTGTAATTCCCAACTTTCAGGTTCCTACAATCCTATCCAATCGCCCTCTGCGGATTGTGGTTACACGTCGTTATGGTCCGAGAAACAAAACCTTGTTACAATCGTATCCTAACCCCAGAGGGTTCTCGAAATCAAGTGGTTATGTATTGATTGGCCATATAAACGCATCAAGTGCGCATTGTTGTAACACTTGCAATGTCGATTCTGTTTCATTCGACAACACATTGTTGGTAACAGCCGATTATCTTGGGTTACAATGAAACACCGGCACATCTGTCCTATAAAAACATTAGAAGGGGACGATGGAAATAAAAACAACGCATTTGTCCACTTTATAATAATTGAATATTGACACTAGTTACATTATAATAGCAGTTTTTTAGTGGAGCTGTAGTTTCCGATACACTAAAGGTAAGCTCACATGAGGTAACCACAGCTTACTAAGTAAAGTAAAAATTGCACAATTTTTTTCTCTACAAATATTGCTCCTAAATGTTTAACCAAAATAAGACTAAAATATAACTGACCAAAAACTAAAAAAAAAAAACTTGTTTTGCTAAAAAAATAGTAAAAAAGTGAACTTAAAAGTAAAAATTAATTTTACTACAAGAACAATTTACCAATCAATTGTTATTGTAGCACATTTTTTTCGAAATGTCAATTACTTTAAAAACAACCGAAGATATACACATTATTTTAAACAATTTATTTTTGTATGAAAGCTATGTGTGTGCATTGTGTTAAACTCAAATTTTCCGATCGAATAATATATATTTTTTGAAAACTATTTTTCCTAGAATCCTTGTCTTGTACAATGTGTTGTATATTTTTTTGGTAAAAAAAAATCATGCAGAGTAGAGTTAATAAAATATTATCGCACAAAACGCAGTAAACATGATTTGTTAGTCATTGTTTGTTTGTCAAGTGCCTGGTATATAAAATACAGAAATAATATATTATGCCATCATGTAATGAATGTTTACTTTGGCTATAATATTTTGAACGAAATATATTACATAGAACATATTATAGCTGTATACATTATTAACTTAGTATGTTGCCTAGGTACCTATACTGTGTTATTTTTTATATCCATTTATACACCCACCTATATAATTTTCCATATTACATTTCTATACTATATATTATATAGTCATACAATTTATGATGTGTAAATTACTACCTATGCCTCTCTTTATTATGTAATAATAAATTTCGGTAAGTCTATCACGTTCCAGTATTTCAATAAAGTGCGTTTATTCACTAATACTATAAAAAAAAAGTATTTTAGCCAAGAAAACAATTTATGACACATTAACCTTACATATCATACTTAATATGTTTGACATAAATATGTCTAAATGGTTAAATATTTTTATTTTAATGGCGTTTTAACAATCGAGGAACAAAATATAATCAAGTGAGGAACTTGTAAAAAAACGAGACTAATGCCAGTGCAATTATTTTAATACAATAATTGCTGCTTTATTTTTATTTTAACTGAAATTATTTAATTACAAGTTAATGTATTACACATTTTAATAAAAATACAAAAATTGGCATTTTCCCCACTTATTTACAATTTCCTGTATCTGATGCTAACTGGAAACCTTAAATTAAATTGTAATAAAAAAATGGTATTATTTCGTTCGTTTTGTTTTCTAATTTAAAAAGTTATGCGCAAGGTATGAATATTTATTTTCATTTTAGTGCTCATATTAATAATCATAATATTATTTCTTGAATATTACAATAAGAATTATTATTATTCCTATATCGCGTGCTACCTGATATTCTGCATTCACGAAATGGAAGCAATTAAAGAAGTATAAATTTCCATAAATTCAAGTACGTGTAATAATAACGTATAGCCTAATTACACGTTACGCGTTTTATGTATAGAGTTTACCACGGATAACGCGGCCAAGTGGTGGTCACTAGTTAGTCAAAAAATATTATTGATTATTTACAAAATATATACATATATTTGCTTGTGTAGAATTTGTGTGATAATTATAAAATTAAAATAATTTCTAGTTGTTTTATTACTATCGCCACTATACCTTCAATAAACACATGGTTTTGTAAAATACAATTATTGTTAGTTTCAGGTATTTGGTTTCACACTATATAACTCAATGGAGTCGGATAATAATATAGTTGAAAGTTAAACAATTTATGCCGGTCGATTTGCCCCCGATTAATTACTGAATAATGCATCAGACCTTTTTGCAATATCCGCGTGGAAATCCATTTGACCAATATTGGCCATTATTTGGCCAGCGATACCATTAATAATGCATAGTTTGCCAAACAGAAACGGTATACAACTTGCAGTGACTTATCAAGTGAATAGTTTGTGATTTGTGTATTTACAAAGGGTCTTATCTTACCCTTTAGGTCACATTATACAAGCATTTTAGTCCGTAAGGTTGCCTTGAAATGTTTTAACGTTAAAAGAAAAATACATAAGTTTAGTTAATTCAGGTGTGAAATTTACAAACATTCCTGCAAAAAAACTGGGTTTTTAATTGTTTTAAAAAATATATAAAACGTACTAAAGTCATTTTGTATAATCTTCATTTTGTACCACACGAATAAATATCACGGTTTTATTCTACAATAGTTTAACCAATTATATAAAATATCTATTTTTAATTTAACTTTATATCACTGTTATTGTTAAACTTTTTTTTACATATACAAAATAGTATTGCTAATTCTAATAACAAAAGTATGCTCTTAAAACTTATTTTATACCTATAGCTTAAAATATAATTTTACAACAAAACATTTTATTTTGATTAGTTGGAAATTTTATGCCACTATTAATGAAGTTAGGGGTTTTTTAAACAATATGTTTTCCCATTTTTTTTAAATTTTGTTTAACTACAAAAAATGATTAAAGGAGGTAGGTGCAAAACTTTAAAAAAAAAAAACCTTTGTCCGTTTTTAGACCACCACTGATAATATGTCTATTATGTATTATCAGTTTTAGGTACTTATAAAAATAATTTTATACCTAAAAAATGAGCTTAATTTAAACCTATACATTTTCATGGTTTTAATGTATGTTAAATTAGTGTTATATTTACACGGACTCTACTAGTCAGTCGGCATCCGTCAGATATTTGTTTTTACTTATTATTATACATTTTTTTTTTGGGGGGGAGAGGGGGTTGATGGGATGATTTAGATCATTGATGGTATCAACGAACCATCAGAGTATTCGAGTATATTATATACACAGCGGACTTGAGCGCCGCCACTCGGATTCGCTTAAACAACACCCCTAAACCGGCATTCGGCAAAGGGTGTCGTATAGTCACGTCCCTAACGCCGTACTGCGTGAACGTTGCCCTCGTCATATCGGTTCACGGCCCTTTATCGGAAGTATAAAAGCACTTGACGATCGCGACGTCCGTTATGGTAATTTTCGTGGTTGCCACGTGATTCGTTGTCGTTAAAAATCGAACTCGGTTTGTCTAAAAATACCTAAAATAAAGAAATTAAGAAACAATTTCCCTAAGCCTTTTTTTAAATTATGACCACCGTGACTTCAGGTCGTCCGCCATTGAGACCGTATGTGGAATACCGAATTTGAACACCCTCGAGGCGGTACGTTAAGGTACGCAATAGTATAGTTTATAATAATATAATAGTGGCAAAGACCATTTAACTTATCACACGATATCTACTATTTTTTTGTACATAGGACTCGAATAATTGTATAGCATTAATTAATAAAAATAGAACAAGAATCGAAAAAAACAATATCGTCATAATTTCTTAGTAAAAACTTTTATGTATTTCTTTAAAAGACTTTTATTTCTATAATGATGTATTGTAAATTACTTTTACGAAAACAGTTAAAAAATAAGTTCGATCAAATAGTTTCAGAACGGCCAATCCAACATTTTAACCACTTCAAAATAGGTTAGGTTAGGTTAAGTTTACTATTACGCTTTTCTGACCTTCAAAAAATGTATGGTTAAAAATGAAATAAATTAATTGTATGATATAGTTTAAGTAAACAAATAAATATATACACGTGACTCATTTATTTGCACGAAAAAAAATTACAATTTTATAGTTTTTTTTTTGTAAACTTTTTTATGCATATTATTGTACAATATTAAAAAATTACTAATTATTTAACTTATTTAGTATAATCCATAGCGCTATCAACATTTGAAACTGAAATGGTAACCTATATATTTTATTAACTTTTTTGATTAAGAATACTTTGCTAACAATTTTGACTGTTCGAAAACCAGTTTAGGATATATACTTTTAAAATTTTTAAAAGGATTTAAAATTTAGGAGGTGGAGCTTACTCTACCGCGATCCACCGTGCTAGATAAAAATAATATTACACCCTACCCTTCTCCTATCCTAAATTTCATTCATTAGTAACTCTAAAATTAATATTATCTAAAATTAGTATCGGTCAGTCAATATTTTCAGCAAATTATTCCTAACTTAAACCTTAAATTTAATTTTAAGTTTTAAAAGTTAATAACGCTCTGGAAAAAAACAAAAAGTTACAAATTTGAATATTGTTTAATATTGTAAAATAATAAAAACTAAAAGGTTTCCAAAAAGAAAATCCACAAAACTGCAATTCTTTCGAGAGAAGATAAAATGAGTGTCTTATTTATAATGAATTACCCTTCATCCTGTACATGTATCGTGTATGCTTTATTATGTAGGATGAATAAAGAACCAGTTGTTCTAAAAATGACAAGATATACCTACGATATTAATGTTAATTTTTATTGACAATTGTTGTCATATTTGTCAACATTTTAATGTTGACACCACATTTAAACGACAATAATAATTAGTATTGCACAATATAAAATATGAACTGGACAGTTGTATTATCATTAATTTAATTTACTTTTTAGTGATTAGTGTAAACCAAGATGAAAGGAAAACGTTGTGAAAACTAGAAATACATTAATAATATATTAGTTTTAAAAAGGAAAGTTGGACGTTTGTACTTTTTATAGTTACCTAAGTTAGTGGACCGTTTAAATGAGCTTTGGTTAATGATTACAACAGTTAATTAGCAACTTAATCACCAAGGGACGGCGTTTGTGTTTTATTTTTACGCGGTTCTCTAACACTAATAAAGTTCCAAATGTGTTACCTGGTAAAAGATTATAAAATAAATATGTCGAAACAATAAAAAACAAAAAGCATTCACTCCACGCATTGCATTATTTACACGAAATAAATGAAAAACAAACTTTGGAAAAAAGTAGAATATTCTCTCAAGAGTTTACACTTTTCTGATGAGAAAATTATGATTTTTTTTTTTTTATTGAACTCAAACTAATAAATGTACGAATTTCATCATTTTACCGCCGACGTTATTGAACGAAATATAAAAATAATTCATAAGTTAACAGTGCACACTAAACCATAATTATTACAATGACTGCGTTTAAAAATTAAATTTAGTTAATTATTATTATTTATTATTATTCATAAAACAACAGTAAAAATTGAAGGGTAAAAAATAATTTAATTTATAATCATATTTTATATTTGTAATAAAACACATTGAACATTATAATATTATACAATACAAGTAGTAGTGTACACGGTAATTAAAAACTTTGTATCTTTAGATAATCTACAGTTCAAGAGCTAATCTTTTCCTTACTGTTTAATTTTACACAATTTGTTTGATTCTCTTGGTTTGCAATGACAAAGCACCGGCAACAGCTGCCAGCTAGATTTCAAATGATCAAATGGCCGTCGATTAATTCCTATCAGGCGCTTCGAAATACTTTCCGACTCTTTGATTGTTACTGTTACTTCTTACTCAAACAAACTTGTAAGTACTATATACTTGAGTCGGTGCTGAATGCTGATTGACTAATTTAGTACAACTTTCTTTTATTCCCCAAATGGTCAGCAATTTGTATTGGTTTGTTCTTCGATGATGTAGACAATAAAAAGAAATTTGTTGAACGGCAAATAAGAATAATGAAATCCAATTTGTAACCCGATACAAGTATGTTTACAACTATTGTGATTAACATCATTAAATATAATATGTTATTTTTTAATCATAAAATTTAATTTCTTTGTTATTGATCATCTCGTGTAAAAAATTTAAAAAACATATATTTTGTTCTATATTTAAATAATACAATTCATAGTTCAAAAGTCTTGCGATGGGTAATCGAATTACGATATACATATTTACTAAGTGTTAAATCGCATAATGTTAGGACCCCATCGGGCTATCGGTATTAGCTGTTATGTATGATAAAAATACATTGGCAAAAGTGAAGAATACAAATATTTAACTGTATAATTCTACATTATTCATGGGCAGACCATGAGTAATATAGCAACAAGTGCGCTGTGTTAGAAAAATTTACTATTTAGGGTGAAAATTAAATTATTAGTATTTTTGACACGTGACAGCGGACGAGGAGATATAGAATTAACGAAATAACAATTATGGACTTGTAAAGTAACTCGGTTGGTTGGTATTAAGCGTGTAATGTAATTGTAGTTTTGGGGCTATACAGTTTACACCAGCCCAAACAAAGCTATAACCAGGATTCGAGTTGAATGTATACATAAACCTTAATTGAAAAAAGAGAGACGATGAAATAATTGTAAAAAACGGTCGAGGCAGGAAGAATAGCAAGGTATAGTGTAGCAGAGGTAGGCCAAAATAAAAAAACAATTAAGGTTGTTAATCGAGACATGAAGGTGTGTAGACTGTAGCGTGAATACCTTGCTCGTTTATGGAGTAGATTAAAGTATTGAAAAATATGCAGAAGACATGACCATGAACTGTTAACGTTATCTAACGCGCATTCTACTTGGATCTCGGGGTGGTGACGTCGAAGATGATCTAAAACGATGAATTGTTAGTGTTGATGGAATATCCTAAAATCATACATAATACAGAAAGATAAATATGCCACTAGTTGCGGTCGTCCGTTTACACATTGACAAGCTGTATACTCAAAAGTTAAATAGGGGTGAGAAGGGAAAGGGGTCGTAGAAGTCACGGCACTTTGAGTTAATGTACGTAGAGGGACACAATGGGAGACCTTTGGACGGAAACGGATTGATAATAGTCGAACCCGTTCGTATACGGTTGAGTCGAGATGGGGTTTTTTTTTTATATACACTGTCAAAATACGAACTCAGGGTGATGCCATGTATACTTAGGCACGCTTTATTGTACGACGTGGGACACGCGAGTTTGCATGACGGTTAAAGAGCATAATATTCATTTTTAGCCGTCGCCGCGACCAGATTGGTTTGCGCGCAATTCTAAGACACACTCGCGACTTTTCAATTAAGCGCCACAGCGGCTTTCCGGTACCCACCACTGTATCATACATAATAATAATATACATTATAAATATTATATTTGGAACGTTTCAAACACCATAACGTAATGTGTATTGTGACATACAACGGGTTGTTACTTTGGGTTTGCTGACGCGTGTGCCGTGTGTGACAGCCCGAATATTATAACAGTATTTAATATAATATTATGCCTTTCACACTTTACCCGACGCCGTTTGTTTTACAGTCGTAATGAGCATTTGAACTGAAGTCGTTATAAACAAGATTTTGGCATAAACCTTTGGCGTTAACTGGGTAAAATCGGTACAACAAATCAATCAAAAACATACAAGACTAAACCCCAGTTCGCGAAACGTTCAACATTTCTATTTAATTCACTTTTCAGTTAACGATAACAAGTATCCAAATCCGGTTTCTTCTGAAATTTGATTAGTTTGGAATCTTTATCATTTATTTATATTTTTAGCAATGTTAAAAAAGCATTCATCCGTTTTATTTCGTTATTATTGAAATAGTAACTAAGCACATATTTACACGAGTATTACGGTGTTGTTATATTGATAACGATCAATTTTGAAATCCTTAATTTTTTGCGTTTAATTATTGTGATGGAAAATTGCAAGACGAACAGCAATTATTGTTTCCAAACCGAACGATTTGGTAAGCCTCTATTCTGCAACTATTTTTCACGCTACTTGAATTCAACGACGAAATAGACTTTTTTTTTTTAAACGACTCACCCGGCTGCACTTACCCGTAACAGCCGTCGAGTCGGTTACCGAAAGCATTTTGCACTTAGATTGTTATGACACGTATGACAAAGGGCGAAAAATAATGGATTCCGCCATGTTATGCTCGTCGTCTACCATGCAAATGTACATAAACTTCGCCCTCGCTCGATTGAAATCTGTGTCGAGTGTAAGACATACCTTATATGGACGATTGTAAGCTTCAGACGTCTCACTGCAAAGGCCGTGTGTACACTGTACAGTGCAAGTGATAACAAACCCATAGTCGGTTGGTTTTCGATAAGGTCGCCGGCAAAGTTTAAGCACAAACACAAAGGCGAGTACACAAACATTGAGAATTAAGAACAGAATCTGCATGCCATGCGTTTGTGGATAATAACGATAATAATAATAATATAACACGGACGAAGATGGGGAATGGAAAACTTTCTTGTGTGGCGGTCGGCCTCAATGGAATTTTAACTGCTTTAATTTTCTCTATCACCCGCCGCGGTTATGTTTACATATCTCTAACGTTGTGTTTTAG